GTGGTCTGGAACAGAGCCTTCAATATCTCTGAGGTATACCTGTATTTATTTATTTTTTTAAAAAGCCTCTGCATTGTGTCTGTTTCCTTCAGATTCTATTTTTTGTTTGTTTTGGCCTCTCTTTTATGATGGAGACTTTATTGAAATGCATGGTGATCCTTGGCTGCTAACTTATATTTGAATGAGGCATGAAAAGTTCATTGAGAGCTAACTAGACTCTGGCATAAAGGGCCTGAATTCTCAGTATCTTTAAGTCTGTTGTATAGATCCTAGCTCCCCATCTGCTGCTTGGGGATTATAGAGGCCTTCCTACTAGGGTTTTGGGAACTAAGCTGTGGGAGAAGCCAGTGTTTGGTATGTAGACCTCTGCTTGATCCCTACTGCACTCCAGTGCCCCTAGGTTCAGAGAGTAACATGTGGACTGGGGGATGGTAACTTTTCCTGCAAAGGGCTAGATAGTAGTAAATATTTCCTGCTTTGTGAGTGATGTGATCTCTGTCACAACCACTCAGCTTTGCTATTGTAGCATGAAAGTAGTCATAGAAAATATATAGATTAGTGAATGTGAATGTATTCCAATACAATTTTACTTATAGACACTGGAAATTGAATTTTTCTTTCTTTTTTTTTTTTTTTTTTGAGATGGAGTCACACTCTGTCACCTATGCTTGTGTGCAATGGTGCAGTCTTGGCTCACTGCAACCTCTGCCTCTGGGGTTCAAGTGATTCTCCTGCCTCAGCCTTCCAAGTAGCTGGGATTACAGGCACGCACCACCATGCCTGTCTAATTTTGTGTATTTTTAGTAGAGATTTAGGGTTTTGCCATGTTGCCTGGCTGGTCTTGAACCCCTGACCTCAGGTGATCCACCCGCCTCAGCCTCCCAAAGTGCTGGGATTACAGGCGTGAGCCACTGCACCCAGCCTGGGAATTGAATTTCTTAGAATTTTCATGTGTCTTGAAATACTGGTCTTCTGACTTTTTTACCCTCAACTATTAAAAAATGTAAAAATCACTCTTGGCCACAGGGAGCCACAGCCTGGTATAGAAACCTAGCAGAAAGGTGTTAGGGAATGCTGGACTTCTTGAGTTTCTCTGCTGGAGTTGCTTCTCGTGGGAATTCCTTTCTGAAGGACTTAAGTTTTGGCTCTCACCACCCTATTACTAATAAACTTAGTTAAAACTTTGAATTTGTCCCTTCTTCTCATTCTCTTTGTGTTTTTATATCTTTTATTTCTTTACTATCATTTTAGGAGAGTTTTGGAAAGTAGAGTGTTGCATGTATGCAGTCTTGCATCTTCCTACTTTTATGCTGGATTTTTAAAAAGTCACATCTACCTTCATTTTAATAGCTTTGTTTCTCTAAGAGTAAGAAATAGCGTCTGCAGGATTGGAGATCAAAAAATTTTTTTGCTTTCTTCCTTACCTAAAATCATAAATCATTCTGCTTTTCTTCTTTGTCTTTTTATGGGATGAGGAGAAGGATGAAAACAAATTTTTTGGCTTACTATGTTGATTAGGGAGTGGAAGGCAAATCCAGGTTAATTTCTACTTAGATTTATTTGCATTGAATATAGATTGATGTGTATTTGTTCTGCCACATTTTTTGGTATTATTGTATTATTTCTGGTTTACCGTATCATACATTCTTATTTCTTGTTTAAATCAATTTCTAGAATATTCTGTTACATTTATTGTTTTCAGTGTAATAACCTATGGTGTTGATGTTAGCCATTTTTAATATGTAAAATATTTTATGCAATATTTCTCTTTAATACTAATAAAACTTGTCCATGATGTCTGGCTTCGTGGGCTATGTGATCTCTGTCACAGCTACTCAGCACTGCTGTTGTAGTGTGAAAGCAGCCACAGAAAACATAAATTAGTGAGTATGAATGTGTTCTAATAAATTTTTACTTACAGACACTGGGAATATCATGGCAAATATTATCTATGTTTCAGACAGAGTTAGCAAGTAGGGAGAAAAACCTGGAAAAATCCTTGACCCATGTTACACTATCCTACCCATCACTATCTACTCTAGCAGGCAAAATGAAAGCTGTTTTAACTCTAGCAGAGAAGAGGAGGCCAAGAGAGAAAGCTAGGATATTGGATAAATTTTTTTAACCATAGTAGGATCCCGTGTCTTTCAGCTGGCTGAAGCCTTCAAGACCACCTGGTGCAGAAATGTTCTAGCATTGCTCTACATAGGAGTCACCCAGAGCAGAGCTTTCATCTGGGCTCATTTTCAGATGGGCAGTCAGTTTAGGGAACCTTTGATTTTTTTTTTTTTTTTTTTTAATAGCTCTTTCCCCTACCAGACTGTTACAGATGGCAAACTGAGTCCAGAGATGCTAATTGTTAGGTCACACTGTTGGTTTGGAACCTAATACACTGTCCCAAGCACAGTCTGAATTCCACAGGCTACATTCCTGGCTAAATGCAGTCTTGGATGTTGTTCTTCCATGTATACTATACATAGATTTTAATTTGCATGGGAGCGATCTCAGCTCAACACAACCTCTACCTCCTGGGTTCAAGCGATTCTCGTGCCTCAGCCTCCTGGCTAGCTGGTATTACAGGCATGCACCACCACACCTGGCTAGTTTTGTATTTTTAATAGAGACGGGGGTTTCTCCATGTTGATCAGGCTGGTCTCGAACTCCTAACCTCAGGTGATCCTCCTGCCTCAGCCTCCTAGAGCGTTGGGATTACAGGCATGAGCTACCACGTGGGTTTGCTGCATCTTAAAAATATGATTGTTGTTAGATTTTGCCAGCTAATGATTGCTACAGAAAAGTTTGTTTTACAGGTACAAAAATGTTCTTAAGAATTATGCCTTGCTGTTTTCATGGTTGGCTCATACAGCCATATCTTGTTTGCTCCAAATGCCATGGCTTCAGCGGATAAGCATTTTTTCCTTGGAATAATATTATTTATCAAGGACTAGGCCAAAGATCAACACTTTCATCATAGCTATGACCAGCAGAGATTTAAATTTTAAATCTGTAATTAATTAGAGATTTTCTTCAAATTGCAGAGCCAGATGAACTTCAAAATTGGAGAGGACCATAAGTACAGCCTCCAATAATTTACAAAAGATTTGTTTGAAAGTACTATGGAAGGGATGTTCGTGATCCTTTTTATTTTTATCTTTTTTTATTTGAAACAGTTTGAACAGTGATTGAACCGAGTATTTGAACTCAGGGGGTTCCCCCTACTTTTTAAAAATAATAAATTTTTGGCTGGGCGCGGTGGCTCAAGCCTGTAATCCCAGCACTTTGGGAGGCCAAGGCGGGTGGATCACGAGGTCGAGAGATCGAGACCATCCTGGTCAACATGGTGAAACCTCGTCTCTACTAAAAATACAAAAAACTAGCTGGGCGTGGTAGCACGTGCCTGTAATCCCAGCTACTCAGGAGGCTGAGGCAGGAGAATTGCTTGAGCCCAGGAGATGGAGGTTGCGGTGAGCCGAGATCGCGCCATTGCACTCCAGCCTGGGTAACAAGAGCGAAACTCCGTCTCAAAAAATAAATAAATAAATAAATAAATAAATAAATAAATTTTTTTCCTATAAAAGATATGTTTACAGTTTAAAACTTTTATTTACTTCTGTGGTGCAGAAGTAAATAAAATGAAGCAAGTTCTGTACTGTCTCATTCCCATTCAGTAAGGGAATCGTTCCTTGGGTATTTATTTTAAAATATCCTAATTGGCTGTGGCTCTGGGACCATGTTGTAAAATCTGAGGAGTAATGACAAAACTGCTGAGAAGTTGAATTCATTGAATGGGCAAGGAGCAAAATCACAATTCCTGGGAAGGAACTGGCTGGAAAAGTATGAAATATTTCTGGCTGGGCACGGTGGCTCATGTAATCCCAGCACTTTGGGAGGCTGAGGCAGTCAGATAGCTTGAGCTCAGAAGTTTTAGACCAGCCGGAGAAACATGGTGAAATCCCTTCTCTACAAAAAATACAAGTTAGGCATGGTGGTGTGCACCTGTGTTTTCAGCTACTTGGGAGGGTGAGGTGGGAGGATTGCATTGAGCCCAGGAGGTCAAGGCTGCAGTGAGCCATTATTGTGCCACTGCACTCCAGCCTAGGCAACAAAGCAAGGCCCTGTCTCAAAAAAAAAAAAAAAAAAAAAAAAAAAAAAAAATCTGTTTCTCTACTAATTACTCCTAACAGCTAATTTTACTCTTCAGAGAACATGCAGAATAAGCAATCAAAGGTCCTGAGATTCCAGAAGAGTTTGAGGCCTCCCACATCCTTCTCCACATCTTTATCATCTCTTTCTGTGTAATTCTGAGTATGGTGATCTTTTTTCAGATGTACAGAGCTGAGAAGTAACAAAGGAGGAGATAGCGCTAATTAGAGCTGGTGCTGATAACTGCAGACTAGTAGCTTAAATACACGCAAGAAAAAACAAAACAAAAACAGATGAGAGGATCAGCATACTGAAAGACAGATATAGACTTCAAAGCCATAGTCTGTACTGCACTTTGTTTTGAGGGTGGTTAAAGAATATGAAAATCAGTGTGTTCGCTATAGGGGACCCTAAACCATTGATAGGTGTTCATTATAAAATTTCTATTTGTGGCCGGGCACAGTGGCTCACACCTATAATTCCAGCACTTTGGGAGGCCGTGGCGGGCAGATCACCTGAGGTTGGGAGTTCGAGACCAACATGGCGAAACCCTGTCTAAACTAAAAAATACAAAAATTAGCTGGGTGTGGTGGCAGATGCCTGTACTCCCAGCTACTTGGGAGGCTGAGGCAGTAGAATCGCTTGAACCTGGGAGGCAGAGGTTTAGGTGAGCCGAGATTGTGCTATTGCAGTCCAGCCTGGGCAACTAGAGTGAAACTCCATCTCAAAAAAAAAAAAAATTCTATTTGTGGAAAATGGCAGTTTGTGGTAAGGCTGAGTGAGATGTTGTTGTATTCATAATGTATATCAGTAATTTTCAGAATCCCACTTAAAATTATTTTATGTTTGATTTTCAGTTCCACTTACTTATATGATCATTTCAAGAGATGTAATGTTGATTGCTGCTGTTTTTTATGTCAGATACCGAACTCTTCCAACACCAGTGAGTTTGTTTTCAAAAAGCATTCTTTTAGCATTACTTACGATTTTAGGGGGAAAAAAAGTATTTTTTAAGTCAACCTCTTCAATTGATGGCACATGAAACCAGACCAGCCAGCCCTTATCCCTAGAAGCAGATTCTTTAAAGGTGTTTCACGTAGGTCCAAGCCATATTGTTGTCTAATTTAACCTGTACCATGGATAGTCTAGAATTGGTTTTAAAAATCACAGTTGTATGAGCATGGGATGATTTGTTTGCATATTTATTCACAAGCTCTATAAATATTTGAGCACATACACATAGCATATTAGCCTCTTTTGGCCCCCAATCTAGTGAAAATAGAGCAATATTTTGTTCATTTTATTTTTTAATTAAAAAAATAGCGAATATGGAATTTTGAGTTTAGTAAAATTTTATAAAGCAAACCTTATAAGTATTGTGTTTGAATTTTACAGCAATTGAGAAATAATCTATACATTTTTAAAAATCAATTTTCAGTATATATTGATTGTATGATTTATAAAATTATATACCTAAATATAACAAAATGTCTATTTTAAATAAAATGTCTATTTTAAACAATAAATTAAATGCTTTATTTTTTTTATCCTCTGCCAGCGAACACTTGCCAAGTATTTCAATCCTTGCTATGCCACTGCTAGGTTAAAACCAACATTCATCAGCAAGGTAAGAGAATGCAGTGTTTTTTAAATTTATTCCTTTGTATATTTTTATACTAGATGTAAACCTCAGTCAAGAACAGCTGAAAATGAGACAAATTTAAATGCATTGCATATAGAGGCTAGAGAGTGGTGTTAGGCAGGCAGCTGTAATCCAGTTCTTTTGTCTTCCATGTTTTTTGGATCATCCTTATACATGTTGTGCCTTGGTGGTCTGAGAGTTTAAGCTCTGAATGAGGTAATTGGGCCATGGTTTAGGGAAAGGGAATTGAAATGTAATTGCTGCTTTTATTTATTTATTTATTTTTGAGACAAGGTCTTACTGTGTTGCCTAGGCTGGAGTGCAGTGGTGAGATCCTGGCTCACTGTAGCCTTGAACTCCTGGGCTCAGGTGGTCTTCAGCCTCCCAAGTTGTTGGGATTATAGGCACACACCACGGAATCAGCTAATTTTTAACTTTTCTGTAGACATGGGGTCTCACTTTATTACCCAGGCTGGTCTGGAACTCCTGGCTTCAAGTAATCCTCCTGCCTAACCCAAATTATTGGGATTACAGGAGTGAGCCACCAAGCTTGGCTGTAACTGCTTCTTGATTGAGTTTCACAGATTATGAAGAGTCCCTTGTGGTTTCACTGCCTCTCTCCCTACAGTGAAAATACTAAATGGCCTTTCATTTTCAGGACTGACAGTTAAGTGGAAAGGAATAGGAGAAAGTTTTGGTCATTAATAAACAACTGCTACTCTTAGTTGTCCATTCTGTTTTCCTGAGCATTCAGGACAAGTATATGCCAGTCTGCACACCACAAGGATACTATTAATGCTTCTCAAGCCATATCTGTTTTTCTAGTAGCTTTGATAAGTTTGCCCAAGTCATTCTTTTTTCCCATCTTTAATGTCAAGGATTTAACAGCTTAAGAATGCTCATTATTTTGGGGAGAGAGGGGTGATTGCTTTTATACAGAACCCCCTGGGGTGGACTTTTACCTACATGCACAGGGTTTGGTTTTTTTTTTCTTCAAGTGTCTTGTATTTATATCAAGTATAGCAATTTGAGTGTAGCAGAACATGGAAAGTGGCGTAAAGAGGTACAAGGACAAGTACCTTATAGAAAGTCCTTTAGATAAAATTATGTATGTATGTATGTATTTTTGAGATGGAGTCTTGCTCTGTTGCCCAGGCTGGAGTGCAGTGGCTCAATCTTGGCTCACTGCAACCTCCGCCTCCCAGATTCAAGCTATTCTACAGGAGCATGCCACCACACCCAGCTAACTTACTGTATTTTTAGTAGAGATGGTGTTTCACCACGTTAGCCAGGATGGTCTCTATCTCCTGACCTCATGGTCTGCCCACCTCGGCCTCCCAAAGTGCTGGGATTACAGGCATGAGCCACCGTGCCCAGTTATATTTTATTTTATTTTTGAGATGGATTTTTGCTCTTGTTGGTCAGGCTGGAGTGCAGTGATGTGATCTCAGCTCACTGCAACCTCCACCTCCCAGGTTCAAGCGATTCTCCTGTCTCAGTCTCCTAAGTAGCTGGGATTGCATGTGCCACCATGCCCAGCTAGTTTGTTTTTTTGTTGTTGTTTTTTTTTTTTGTATTTTTTAGTAGAGATGGGGTTTCACCATGTTGCTCAGCCTAGTCTTGAATTCCTGACCTCAGGTGATCTACCCATCTCGGCTTGCCAAAGTGCTGGGATTACAGGCATGAGCCACGGTGCCTAGCTAGTAACTGTTTTTTAAAATGAAGGAGAATCCTTGTCATTTGGCTGCAGAATGGGTGATAGAACATTTGTCTGCTTCACTCGCTTTTTCGTGCTTTCAGACTCTTCCATTGAATGCTTCTCATGATGTCAGAGGGAGTCTCCAGTGTATTTCTTGTTCAATTTTCTTTTCTCTCCAGTGTTGTTTTTTAGTGTAGGGAAGACTACTCATTTCTTTCTCAAGAGAGGCTCTTTTATGGATATGAGTGCCTTTTCTTTGAACCAGGGTCTTGCTCTGTCTGCCCAGCCTTGAGTGCAGTGGCATAATCATAGCTCACTGCAGCCTTGACCTCCCAGGTCCAAGCTATCCTCCCACCTCAGTCTCCCAAGTAGCTGAGAGTACCAGGTGCATGCCACCATGCTTGGCCAATTTTAAAATTTTTTTTAGAGTTTGCATCTTGCTGTGTTGCCTAGGCTGGTTTCAAACTCCTGGGCTTAAGCAGTCCTTCTGCCTCAGCCTCCCAAAGTGCTGGGATTGCAGGCATGAACCACTGCATCTGTCCTGGGATGAGTACATTTTAATTTTCTTTTTTTTTTCTTCTTTTTCTCAGAACTTGCCACTGTAGCATTTTAGTTTTCTAACCTCACAAGGTTGGACAGGTAGGCAAGTGAAAGGAGCATTGGATAAGGCCCCAGGAAATCTAGGTTCCAGCTTTGATTCTATTGTCTGCTGTGACTGCAGGCAAGTAACCCAACTCATTACCCTTTTATCCATGAAGAGGTAGCTTAATTATTTCCGTATTCTATTTTAATGGGCAGTTGGAAAAAAGGCAAATAATTTTGTAACATTTTTGAGTTGCCATGGGAATTTAAAGTAGCAGTAATTTCTGACAGATGTCATTACTCTCTAAAGGGCAGCTGTGCAGACGGATGGGTACATTAGTGAATCTGACCCTTTTGTGTATGCTCACCTGTGAATGCCAGCTTCTTGGGCAGGGATATTGTAGATGAACAGCAAGCAGGCTGAGGGTATGTCATGTTATAGTGTAATGGGCTATGCTTTTGTCTTGAAAGCTTGAAATAGGGTCCAGTTAGCACTAGTCATTTAGAACTTTTTCTTTTTATTTAGGTAAATACAGCAGTCCAGTTAATCTTGGTGGCAGCTTCTTTGGCAGCTCCAGTTTTTAACTATGCTGACAGCATTTATCTTCAGATACTGTGGTAAGCGAAATTTAGAATCACTTGCTTAGAATGTCAATAGAATGACTTCCTTTGGTAGTCCTAGAATAACCTTATTCTTACAGCCTTTATTGAGCACTGACTGGATAAAGCTGTGGCTATGTTTTGTGATTGATACCATTCTTAAGAAGCTTCCTGCCAAGTATGGGATGTAGAAGTTAGCTTTTATGCAAAGTAAAAGGGATAAAAGGTACTGATAATGTGTTAAGGTTTTGGAGGAGGAAGAGATAACTTCGTAGGAAGAAGAGGGAAAGTTTCAGGGAGGAAGTGGCATTCGATGCATGAGGCATTGTGGATTGTGTAGGAAGAGACTGAGAGGAGGCCACTAGGTGAAAGACAGGGCCTAAGCCAAGGCAGAGGATAGGAGAGTGGGTAGGAAAGCCGAGTGCAGCCTGAAAGGAGTGTCGGAGGAGGGAAAACTGGAGAAAGGAGTTGGAATTTTGTTATCCTAATTGCTTATTTATCATCTTAAAACTGTGTCAGATTCAAGCTTTCAGAGTTCAAAACGTGTCACCTTGATACTGGACAATTATATTTTGGCACACTTTTAACTAGAATTAAAATTAACTTGCTTGGTGCAGTCTGGACCAGAAACTGGTGGCTAATTGCAGTCAGTTAAGCCAGGCAATCTTTAAAAAATGACAACTACTCTAAACTTCTTGTTTTAATCTAAAATATTGAAGTGTATATTTTTCCTGATTCATCTTATACCTTCTGATGTAGGAAGGCAGCTTTTTGAGTGTCAGTCCATCAAGGGTAGTTTTTTCTTTCTTGGATAAACTACATTCATAATCCAACCTCTCTGATTTTCATTTTTTACTTCTTTAAGGTGATGCAAGAACTTAAAACATGTGCAAAGCAGTCTAAGAACTGTTTAAACTTTTTCCCCAGTCTTTTCACAGTCATCTTGTATATTTATTTTGACAGTATTTCCCCCCTCCGCAGAAACTGATGAAAAGAGAGATGGTATTTTTTTTTTAATCAAGTAACCTCTATTGAGTCTTTCCAAAGCATCCAATATAGTTTTCAGAAGCAGCAATTTTAAAAACATATTTTTTTTGCAGACAGGGTCTTGCTCTGTCACCCAGGCTATAGTGCAGTGGTATGATCGTAGCTCACTGTAACCTTGAATTCCTGGCCTCAAGTGATTCTCCTGCTTCAGCCTCCTGAGCAGTTGCAACTACCAGGTGTGCTACCACACCTGGCTAATTTTTTTTTTAAATTTATTATTATTATTTTTTGAGACAGGGCCTTACTCTGTTGCTCAGGCTGGAGTGCAGTGGCCTGATCTCCGCTCACTGCAACCTCTGCCTCCCAGGTTCAAGTAATTCTACTGCCTCAACCTCCTGAGTAGCTGGGATTACAGATGCCTGCCACCACACACAGCTAAGTTTTGTATTTTTAGTACAGACAGGTTTTTGCCATGTTGGCCAGGCTGCTCTCTAACTCCTGGCCTCAATTGATCCACCTGCCTTGGCTTCTCAAAGTGCTGGGATTACAGGTGTGAGCTGCCACACCCAGCCACTAATTTTTTATGTTACTATTTTTTGTAGAAACAGGGTCTTACTGTGTTGCCTGGGCTGGTCTCAAACTCCTGGCCTCAAGCAGTCCTTCCGCCTTGACCTCCCAAAGTGGTAGGATTATAGTCATGAGCCACTGCATCTAGTTAGAAATAGCAATTTTTCTAACACATGTATTTCACTGGTTTATGCATGAATTTAGAATATCAAAGTGGCATGAACAGGTTCGAGATCCAACAAAAGGGAATCTTGATTCTGCCTCACCTAATAAAAGCAAAAGTATGTGGGTGCACTAAAAAGTAATCCCCTAGCTGTGGGCATTCAGCATGCCATGGGCATCAAGTGATATCATTTCAAGGAGAATCTGGTTAAGGGTAATTTGGTAAAGAAAGCTGAAATTTATTTAAAATGACTCAGATATCTTTAGAATTCTCAAAATCTATAGGAAATAGATTCTGGTACTCTGAGCAGCATGGGGCAGTAGAAAGAGCACGTGGTCTTTAGAGTTGAAACCAAGTCAGGCTCAAACAGTTCTCTTATAAGCCTTGAGGAAGTTCTCTGGGTCTTCCATTTTCTCCTCTGGAGGATGAGGTTGTTGTAAGAATATGAGGATGTAAGACACCTAGAGGATGCCTGAGTAAAAATGACTGTTGATAGTAGTATTAATTTTTAGGGCTCATTACCTAGAATAATTTTGTTTGACATTACTAATTCAAATGAAGTCTTAAAGAAAAGCAGTGTATTTAGACTCTCGTAGTTAAGAAAAATTACGCCACAGAGCCCTTTTTACTTTTAAAACAGATCTTTTACATGTATTCATTATTATTCCCACTGCTACTATTTTTTAGACTTGACAACTAAATTTTATTTCTTTTCTTCTATAAAAGGTGTTGTACAGCTTTTACCACAGCTGCATCAGCTTACAGTTACTATCATTATGGTCGGAAAACTGTGCAGGTGATAAAAGACTGATGAAAGGCATCCATCACCATTAGCAAGGAAGCAATATGCATCACTGGCAATAGGGTCCGTGGAAATCTACAAGTTTCCCTATTTTGGTGTTCAGCTTGAAAAAGGACTTGTCAGAACCAACCATGTCTTCAAAATTTAAGTAATGTGCATTGAAAATAAGCTTTGATCATGGTCATATGCAGAATTTCCAATGTATTTTTAAATATAAATAAAACTATAATTTAGAATTTTTAATCTCAGGTTTCTTGATTAATTTATAAGAGATCAATTATTGTCTATTTTTTTTTCTTTTGAGTTGGAGTTTCATTCTTGTTGCCCAGGCTGGAGTGCAATGGTGCGATCTCAGCTCACTGCAACCTCTGCCTCCCGGGTTCAAGCGATTCTCCTCCCTCAGCCTCCCAAGTAGCTGGGATTACAAACATGCACCACCATTCCTGGCTAATTTTGTATTTTTAGTAGATATGGGATTTCTCCATGTTGGTCAGGCTGGTCTCAAACTCCCGACCTTGGGTGATATGCCCACCTCGGCCTCCCAAAGTGCTGGGATTACAGGCGTGAGCCACTGCATCCAGCCATCAGTGTTTTTTATATGTTCTTTAAAAACATAGTCCATAGCATGGACAGAGTTGACACCTCTCTTCTAAGTGAAATTTGGATTGCTCACAAAATACTAGGAAATGTCTTGGGGTTCAAATATATGTCCTACACAACTGGTCAATACATTTTTGTGTTTGATTTTTAGATCTGTGTATACATTAACAGTTTTCATGTAGTTAACTCCTGATCATTTGGTATAATGAAAGTGAAGTTAGTTGTGAATTAAGTAAAGTTATAAAAGAGATTTAAAAAGCAGTAGGTTTTTAAGATATCAAACAGAATAGAAGGTATGAAATTCATTTTCAGTAGTCTTCCAAAATCTCAGGTGCCTAATAATTTAAGTATCAGGAAAATAGGCAACACAGGTAGTTGAGATAGGAGAATATGTTGCATCTAAAAGGCAGTGAGTTACATCCTGCCTTCCACTGTGTTTCTGACATAGCAATGTTTGTTTGATACTGGAACCTGTACTCATATATTATGTAAATAATATCAAGCTGTATATTTTTCAAAGGTTTTTTAAACTTTGGAGAATCTTTTGTTAAGAAGTTAAAGGAATAAAAGAGCTGCAAAAAAAAAAAAAAAAAAATTGTACCTTCAACTCGGATTGTTCCATATAACATACTTCTGTTTTGCTGTTACGTAAGTTTTCCGATTCACAAAGTCCGTTTATGTACATCGCTTACACTTAAATTGTAAAAATAATTACTTTGACCATCTGACTTTGAAAGACATTCTTGCTACACTTCATGTTTAGGAGAATGTGGGATATGGGGAAGGGGAGAAAAAGACCATGTCCAGTGGTAACCGGTTGCTGCTGCTTAAGAGTACAGGCCTACTGCTGCCCATTGTCCCTGGTTTTAATCCAAGTCTATTATGGAATCCTGCAGTGAGGTTATCCATTCTCAGCCTGTTACTGCATTAAATTTGAATGGGAGGCTGTAAGTAAAACACCCCTCTTGGCCAGGCATTCTGCACGAGTGTCCCTCTGTGGCTTGCTGGTCCTGGCTTCTTTGTTCTCAGACCAGCAGCTGAGCTGTGCTTGCTTGGAGCATACCGAAGCCTGCAGCCAGGGACACTGCCTGCCATTGAATCAGATGGAGGGGGTTGAAAAGGCAGACAAGTGGGGCATGTAGCTGGCTATTCTCGCTCTCTGGAGAATAGCATTATTGTTAGCAGTAAGGCTGGAGGTGGACTTCCTACTGCGGAACTACCCAAGACGCACACTGAGTGAGTCTCTGCATTAGTGACAGGTAAACCACGTAAGAATAATGTTTTAAAAAGGGAGGACTTGAAGTAGTTATGGGAAAATTTTGAACTTTGCACCTTGTTATGCTTATTTATGGTTTAGTGTTGATGCCATTTGGAGTGACTTAGGGTTTGGACCCATAATCTCTTTATTATTAACGTCTCAATCTGGCTCTGGTTAATAAACTTTGTCCACTTCAACCTAAGGAAAATGGTCCAAGTCTCCTCAGGCTTTTGGATACTGAATTGTTATGAAACATCAATTCTGCCAGTTTATAAAACATTGAAATTATATTAGATATGTCTGAATATATACTTGCATATAGACTCAAAAATGATGAAAATTCATTGCAGTGTCTTCACAGAATAGACTTAATCTTGATAGTAAGCTTACAAATAAACATCAGTGTTATTTAATTACATGTCTGTAGTAATTAGATTTTTGGCTTTTGCAATGTGTTTGCGTTGGGGCTTCATTCCTGAGCCCAAGCAATCCTTTCACCTCAGCTTCCCAAGTAGCTGGGATTACAGGTGCACACCAACCTTGCTTTGCAGTTTTGTTTTTTTGGTGTGTATTTTTTTTTTTTTTTTTTTTTAACAAGCCCACAACTAACATCATAGCTTTGCGCAACAGCTGGTTGAGATCTTTGAAATCATTTAGTCCAATTCTCTTGGTTATATTTGTGATGAAACTAGGGATCTAGCCTACAGTTTGGGGAAGCTCTTTCAGAACTTCACACACTGGAAATATATAGTGCAATTCCGTGTTAGCTTCTGCAGCTTGGTTTGGAAACAAAAGATACATGGAATCCAAACTTGATTTATTTTCTTCTTACAGTAGAAGTAAATGCTATTGTGGGTTGAATTGTGTCTCCCAAGAAAGGTATGTTCAAGTTCAAACTGCCAGTACTGTACATGTGACCGTATTTGGAAATAGGATCTTTTTAGATGCAATCAAATTAGGACAAGGTCATACTGGATTATAGTGGGCCTTAACCCAATAACTAGTTTTTTTTGATAAGAAAAAGGAAACGTGAACAGAGAGACAGAGAATGTGTGAGATGATGGAGGGATAGATTGGAATGATGTCTGCAAGCTAAGGACTACTGAGCATTGCTGCCGACCGTCTAAAGCCAGGAGAAGAGGGAAAATCCCCACTGATTGATTTTGGATTTCTGGTCTGAACAATAGGAAAATAAATTTCTGTTGTTTTAAGCCAGTTTTACCAGTTTGTGGTAACTTGTTAAAGCAGCTGCAGGAAATTAATAAATGCTGATGTTGAAAATTAAAATCTAGAAATATGGCTTTAATTATAATTTCACGGCCGGGCGTGGTGGCTCAAGCCTGTAATCCCAGCACTTTGGGAGGCCGAGGCGGGTGGATCACAAGGTCGAGAGATCAAGACCATCCTGGTCAACATGGTGAAACCCCGTCTCTACTAAAAATACAAAAAATTAGCTGGGCATGGTGGCACGTGCCTGTAATCCCAGCTACTCAGGAGGCTGAGGCAGGAGAATTGCCTGAACCCAGGAGGCGGAGGTTGCGGTGAGCCGAGATCGCGCCATTGCACTCCAGCCTGGGTAACAAGAGCGAAACTCCGTCTCAAAAAAAAAAAAAAAAAAAAATTATAATTTCACAGAACCATTTTTTCCCCCGAGTTTGTATAAATGTGAAAAAGTAGAGGATAGAGTGGATGCATCCCACATGAAGACACATATTATTGAAGCATTGTTTGATGTGATTATGTTAGAGAAACTCTTTGGCTTCTAGCTAGTGCCTCGGGTTCTCTTTTGCTCACTTCTTCCCTCTAATTAAGAAAAAAGATTTCCAAAAGTTTATGCTTCCTAAAAGATGAATTTATAGTTCATTTGTCCATTTAGTCTTAGGTGGAATGCAGTAAACACTGATTTTAAAGAACAGCCGTTCTCTATGTTTGACAAATGTTGCCAGAAAACTGGTTTTAACTGTACAGATGGAAATACGTGTTCTTGCCATGTCCTGAAATGGAACTAATAAACCCAGAAGGCCTTACGAAGCAACCACTAGCTCTCCCCCTTATCCCAGCTCTCAGGAACTGGAACTGGAACAGGAAATCCACTGGAATTGATTTCTTGAATTAACAGAGCTCATTATGCCTCAGCCAGAGCTTGATCATGAAGGAGCTTCCGCTGGAAAGACGTGAGGGTGTGATTTCTAACATGGCCGAGGAGGCTGGGTTATGCAATTTCCGTTTCATCCCTTCCTCCTTCCATACACTATTGTACTGGGTAGAGGGGCACTGACTGCTGAAAACCCCAAATGAAACAACACACAAGAAGGCCCGGCGGCAGTGGGAGTGATCTGGCATCTACCATCAGGTTTCTGGGAACAGAGAGTGAAGCAGAAGGAAGGGAGGGCATTTGTTCCTTGGACTGAGAAACTCAATGTGGCAAGTTCATGTGTGCCCAAGGCATCCTAGCTTCACGGGAATTAGAAACCCTAGGAGTGGATGCGGTCGTTTTTGACGCTGTATCTTCCTTTCTGCGCTCAGATCCAGTTCGATTGGAGGCCTTAGCCCCGAAGCTGGCCTAACTGACCGTCTGGAGCCCCAGCGGGTAGTCAAAGGCCGGGTTTTTATAGGCCAGCAAGTGTGTGTCGCAGCGCTGCAGGTGGAGCGTCGGGCCCCGCCTGCAGAGACACGCGGACAGCACCAGGGTGCTGACGAGCAGCAGGCCGCTGGTAGCGCACAGCCCCGCTAGCAGAAGCACGAAGCTGGGCTTGGTGGTGAAGGAGGCGCACGCGCTCCCCCAGCCCGAGGACCGCGGCTGGCTCAGGCCCGCCCTGTTGGCCGCCAGCACGCACACGCGATAGGTGGTGCCTGGCGACAGCCCGTACAGAGGGTGCTGCCGTGCCGTGGCGTAGATGACCCCCACCACCGACTGGTTCCCCGTCCAACCCTCCGCAGAGTAGCGGATCTGGTACCCGTGCACCACCGAGTTGGGGGCACACCAGTGGACCAGTGCCGACGTGTCCGTGGTCTCCGTCACCCCCTGCAGCCTGGGCGGGTCTGGGATGGTGTCTTCCCCGCTGAGGCCGGGGCACCGGCACCGCGAGCGCCTCTGCAGCTCTGCACACGGGGTCTGCAGGTGCTTGCAGGGGTGGTAATCACAGGAGACGTCCTGGAAAGCCGCTCCCACCTCCTCCTTCGTCCCCTCCTCCTCACTGTAGTCATCCAGCAGGACGACTGGAATCTCACCCTCGGAAGGAGTCGGGTTGGGGACCTGGGGGGTGGCCTGTGTCCTCTGGCCAGGCTGAGGTGAGCGTATGTGGTTCCACGAGGTAGGGAAGGGGCCTGGGTGCTTGCTGGCCAGTGGGGTGGAGGCAGCTGAGATGTCAGGCTCAAGGACAAG